CTGAGGTGTTCTGACAGTGAAGAAGAGCAGGTTTCTGAGCTTTGGGGCTAAAACAGGAATTTTAAACAGCAATTGATTTTCTGGTCTGAGGGGTCTTGGCGCAGAGTGAAGGGTTAATAGTTCTGATTTGCAAAGTGGAGCCAAACCAGGTAGGAATTTAAAAATAATCAATATCATCTTAAATTGAATTCTATAATGAATGAGGGAGTGTAATTCCACCCGGACCGGACTAATGTGCTCCCTGTGTTTAGTGTGTGTGATCAGTCTTGCTGCTGACTTTTTAACCTACTTTAAGCAGTGATTTATAGCCTGAGCTTTCTGAGGTGACGTGTAACTTTTTAAATGCAAAACATTTACAGTAAACTTGTCCCTTTGCATGCTTTTAAATGGAAATCTCCTGAGATATGATGCACTGTCAGTTCACCTTACACAACGGATGTAGGGCCCGGTCGTACCCGCCTGAATGACCTGAGACACGCTGCTTACATGTCAACTTGTAGTTGAAACATCAGATTAACACACTGCTGCCTACAATGGATTGGTCCTTTGCTGCCCCATCTGCCGTTAGCTTGCCGTGCAAATCCAATTATGTTCTTAGGTTCCCCGGTCTAAAAATAGTCGAAAATGACGGAAAACGCAGTAACAACACGTCATTAGATGTGAGCGGAGGGGAAATTATGGTTATGGAGCTGATTTGTTCTTTCTGCGGAGACAATTGATCTGCCATGAGGAGATGATAGCTGCCATGACGGACAGGAGCACCGGGACGAGGGAGAGGAGGGCGGAATGGCAGCAGGGGACACATAGAAGAAGGAAGGATTAGGTTCAGAGTGGCGGATGTCTGAAGGAACTTAAGAAGAATCTCCAGATAGCAGATGAAATAAGGTAGGCTGTGTGATAATGTTTGTCAGACCATGTCCTGCTGGTGTCTGTATGTGTGTTTACATACACAGTGTTGGCTGCTATGATGCCACAGGTAGCTGCCATTATGTACTACTGATGACCAGGATGGTTTTCATGCTTTTTTTTCTTCCCATCTGCTGCTGTAACAACTCAGTTTCCGTCTGTAATCAACACTGTAGTGGTGAGTTTACTGGACAGGTCACCACTGAGCAAGGCAGCAAACCCACAGCTCACATCCACACAGGCTGAGAGGCAGGTTGTTGCTGAAAAATGAGCGTTAGTGAGTCAACCTTAAGTTTTGCTCCGCTCAGGCTCAACTGAAACACACAAATTAACCCGTCAGCGACACTATAAATGTCAGCGATCAATGACTTTTCATCACCCGGTGGTGAGAAATCGCTTGTTTGAATTTCACTTTTCATTTCAATGCAGATAAAACTAAATGAGTGATTTACACCAGAGGCAACACTATCGATTAGTTGTCATCTCTGCCAAGAATGGAACAAAACTGAAAGAGCCACACAGTGTCTTGGAGAGTGGATTGATGACAAGGTGACTTCTAAATGTCATGAGAGAAAACAAAAGAAAAAAAAATGGCGAGAAGAAGCTTATCGAGGCCACTTTTGTATTGTGTCACTGTGCACTAAGTTTAGGCTCAGGTGAGGGGTGTAATACTCATCACTGTGAGCTGTATGCTCAGGTTAGCCGGCCCTTCCTCTCTCTTAAGGGTGATAAACACTCATTTATTTATAAGACTCACTGTTTTTCACTTACCCTCTTACATTACTTCACTGTAGTCTTTTAATGTGAGCCTTTACCAAACATGCTCGATTGATTGGATTATGCAGCAGGTGCCGACTGTTTTTACTGAGCTTTGACAATCCAGTTTTACTCACTGTGCACCTGCAACCTGGAAGAACCGTCAGAACAATCTCAAGTATGGCCGATTTTGCTTCTGAGGGCAATTTTAGCATCTTATTTCACCTCCAGCTGTTCCGGTTTTACTTCGTTCTTTTACTTTCACTTTTAAATTCTGTATTTGTTCTTAATGATTCTATTATTTTACAAATTTTGCCTTTTTATTTGTTATTTTTAGCCCCTTTTTGTGTGATTTCTTTAGTGTCTCACTCAGCTATACTGTAAATGAGGCTTCAATACCTCAAAGTATTCTTTAAATACAGCTTGAATGGAATAATCAGTTATGAGACATTAACTAGTTTGGTTTGGTGTCACTCTTTGTGTTTTTATGCACACTAATTTGGTTTTATGTGTTAATAAATACAGTTTTCTTGCAGGAAATGTTGACATTCACGGGTGTAAAAAATAAAATGAATGATGACTGGATTCCATTCAGCTGCTTCAGTATCTTAGTCCTGGAATCGTGCATTGTCACATTAGTATGACTCACTTTAATAGAAAAGAATCATCATAAATGTTTTTCACAAGTCAGACTGTGGGAAAGGCCTTCCCTGATTCTCGCCCTGCGCAGACGTTACCTGAGGTGATCTTAGTTGAATTAAAGCAGAGTACACATAACCTGATTAACAGAGCTGCGGTTACTTTGCAATCTGTCAAGTCACAGTAAGAATGTTAGCATTTTGTCTCTTTCTAACGCTGCTCGTGTTTCAAAGCAGGATAGCAGAGATGCCAGCAGCGGTAGTTAAATCCAGCACATTCAGTACGATTCAGATAAAGAAAGACATTAGAGCAAAAAGCAAGACATTCTTCTGTTTTCCTCCTTTTATTGTCTGATAGGGCTAGAAGCATAATGATTATGACGAGACGTTTGTTCGAGGCTACCACAGCGACATCTGGTTGTTAATTTGACTGTCAAACAAATAAGAAAACGTCAGCTTATTGGTGTTACTGAGAACCATGTAAAGACCTCAGTGTTATGTTAATCTGGTTATTCGCAGCAGCCTACATTTCATCCAGCACACTCCACCCATGAATGTTTTACGTCTTGTCGTTTTGTGCCATTTTTCAGCGGGTTTCCTTTATATTTGACACAGTTGTTGCAAAATATAGTGCAGCGATAGATGGTTTCTGACAGGTTTGTTGTTGCTGCCGTCACAGTGCTGGTATTGTATTTGATTGTAGTGTTTATTATAAAGAGGGATGCTGGCAAGACTTTAAAATGAAATATTGACATCCAACCAGCGTGAACACTGACAGGCAAATCATGTCTGTCAGCTTAATGGTTTACAGTTTTGTTCGAAAATGTTCCATAAAAATAAATATGGTATGTCTTACATGTAAATTGAACTTTTGTTGTTTCTCCGAGTGAGTGATTCCACTACAGGAGGGACCTGATGTTCTCTGCAATAAGATTTAAAGGAATGTATGCATCCATCAGCCAAAATGAGTCGGATTTTAAATATTGGCATTTTAGATAAATTCAATAATGATTCCTATTAGAATTATGAAAACCTCAGAACAAAACCAAAGTAGTTGTCCATTATGTGTTTCAGTATTTCCAGACCTCACCTCACTATGACATTATTTTGCCTCAAATATTGCACTTCACCTGCTTCCGTGTGACATGACGCCTCTCTGTTTTGACTCGGTGCAAATAAATGTGGAGAGTTTGGCTATTTCTACACATTACGCCAAGCAAACCTGACTCATCTTTATCTCCGAAGTTGCACATTTTCCTCTCCCTCACCAGAAGCTTCAACTGGCTCTGGATCAAATGGAGAAACGTGACAACCTTGCTCTGCTCCTCGCGATGACGAATTTAGAGTGATTTAAAGCTGCTGAATCTGAGAATGCAGCCCTCTTCCTGCAGCTCTCTCTCTCTCCTCTCAATCAATCACAGACTTGTGCTTCAAAAAAAAAGACAAGCTACAAGTCAATATTCACTTGTGGCTTCACACCAGAGTCAAACTCCTGAGTGAAGTGCTCTGTTTATTCCATTCAGCCATCCTCCTCCCACTTTGTTTCTCTTTATGTGAGCTCACCTAATCTGGCTGAAAACACCCACCAAAGTCCCCCCATCAAAAGTGGAGGTGCTGAAGTCTAGTTCCCTCTTAGACCACTTAAATTACAACATGCTGAAAGGTTATTGTAGGAATCTTTCCCCAGTGATGTCAAAGAAATACTGCCTAGCCCTCTTTAAGCTTTAGGGTCAGCATGTGGAACATTCACCTGTGATCTGACAAACCTGTTTTAAAACCCGGTTTTACAGAAGCTGGATAGTCCGGTTAAAGATCAAACAAAAGCGGCTAAACCAAGTCTATATGTACAGTATACAGTCTTATCATGACATGCTGTTGGTACTTTACTGTAAATGTAACAGTCAATATTAGTGATTTAACAGATAGAAATGAAAGGTTGCTACTGTGTGCATGTTTGGTTGTGACCCATCTTGCAATATTTCCTGAACTCGTTAAGTATTAATTATTCAAATTATATATCCTATATTTATAGGACTACAAGATAATATTGGCAATCACATAACAGTGATGAACAACGAGCAGCATTTTGTGTTGTCTCTCAGTATCACCCATAGTTTCACTTCCCGGAAGCTTCTCAAGGTAATTTACCATTACAAGAATCCTTTTCCGTAAGCACATAAGTGATTTAAAAGCGCTCAAAGCGTTTATTACCACCAACAGCTGGTGCTATTAAACAAACCAAATAATCCAAGTTGGCAGAACGTGTATTTTTCCTTTTCTAAATCTTTAAGAGACGTTGGCTTCTCAACCTGAAATATTGTCCCTGTGTGAAACAAAGTCATGAGTGGGCATCTCTTCACTTTGATAGAATCATTAATCACAGGTATTGGATTTGTTTCTGCTTAGCGCCCTTAAATCCTACTAAATCGTATTGTTCCGAAACACTGGCCTCTGCCAAATGTTCCCCGAGCCTGATGCAGTCGGATTCTAGTGCAAGAGGCCTGTCGGCATGAAGAACTCGCCACTTTCTCAACTTAAGCTTATTATTCAATCTAAATAAGACGTCAAGTCCGCAACCTTTGACGCAGACATTTGACAGGAGAGCTTATGGTGCGTTTGATGACAGATTTCCTTCAGATGGTGTCCCCAGAGAGGGTTTATGTACATAACCCCTTTTACTACACATCTGAGCTTCTGCAATTTCAACAAAAGTAACCTCATGCATAACACAACATGTGTTGATGTAGAACTTTGATGTGATGTGTTTCCCAGCAGGATGGGTACATTTGTGACCCTGGCTGAAGTGTTGGAGGCCCGGGGTTCACCGCTGGAGGAGGATGAGGTCTGGTGTCTGCTGCTCACCACCGCTGACGCCTTACTGGACATCTCTAAAAAAGGTGACCAATCGTCAGCCACCATTTCCCCACAGTTCTGCCTGTAGTTTAGAGCTTGATCTTTAGTTCAATAGCAACCAAACAAGCCAAACAGCACAAGAGAAAGTTATGCAGCTTTTGTTCTGCTCTCTGTTTAGGTTCAGGCAACATGTGCAGTGTGCTGAGCCCTGGCTCAGTGCTGCTGTCAGCCAACGGGAGTCTGGCCTTCAAGAGCTGTGCACGATATGAAGACGTGGCCTCCTTCACAGCTCCTGAAGTCCAGCAGGGTCACGCTGCCTCCACCAGGACTGCAGCCGAAAAGGTCAGAACACTGGAAACCTTTTGCGTTGCTGTTCTTCAGACAACTATTACAAAACCAGAGTGAAAAAAACACTATCCCATAATCAGTTTTACTTTTAAGCAATGCATCAGTGTGTAGTGCTCCACTAGTATAAGACATGGGATATATGCAAAGGTAAATAGCATTTGTAGTATCTACACACCCCATATCTCAACCCTTGGATCAGAAAATGCAGAGACTGAGAGGAATCAGTAAATAGCAAAAATCAGATTTCAAATACAAAGGACGAGATGTAACCATCCTTTAAGTGCGAGCACATACATTGGTGGTAAAATTGGCTTGACTCATTCACACAGCAGAGTTTCAGGTGGGGATTCTCGTTTGGAGGGTGACAAAGGGGGCACATCTTCAGTAGTATACCTCAGTAGTACTAGTTCTAAAAAACAGCATGTCAGACACAGTGTTTGTTGGTCAAAACTGCATCAGGAAGTCGACCATTTGTGCTGTAACATGAGCTGATCTCCTCTCCTCAGTGGTTTTAATGAACTAATATTACTTCATTTGTTTCATTACTCAAAACAAACTTTCTCAAATTTCTTTGCAATCCTCATGAAACTTTGTGTATGTGTTTCTTAGATGGTTGTGTACTCACTGGGGATGACTCTGTATTGGTGCGTTGACTATCATCTACCTCAAAACCAGGTACTTTCCTCCTTCTTCTATCTCTGCTCAAAAAGCTTCTTCCATATTCTCAGCACTCACCCATTTCACCTGTTTCCTCCCAGCCGGTCCAGCTGAGCAACGAGTTGGAGGGTCTGCTGCTGAGCATGTGTGAGGACGTAGTGATGAGGAGGACCGACCTGCTGACGGTGCTGGAGACCTGCGAGCTTCACCACAAGGCCTCCATGCTGCCTCCTGCTGAGCGGCTCGTCAGGCAGCTGGTGGAAGACGTCTACAGGAACTCGGTGAGTGGTGGTTGACTGGTTCGGTTTGCTTTTGGGGTCACGTTTGGTTTTGATCATTTTTGTTTTGAGTTTACTGATAGCGTCAACTCTCTGCTGGTTTGCTTGAGCTTGACAACGATGTCCTTACAGGTCGACCACCTGTCCATCACTGAAAACGGCTCTCCACTAACGGACCGCAGTCAAGTGGTCAGGGACAGATTACACAGTAAGAATCTAGTTTTCGCCAGAGCTGAAGTGTGACATTGTGTGAATGGCTTTTTGGCTTTCTTGTCAAGACACTAGAAGATCAATGCCATTCTTGTGTCTGATCACTTACGCTGCTTTGAAATGGAAAGCGTTGGTTTGTAGCACCTTAAACGATGCCATTGGTCAGAATTTGTGAGAGCACCGAAGCTAAGCAAAGGCGACATGGACAGCACCGTCGGCATCTAGAGGCTATCGAGGTTAAACATTTAAACATGCTAAGGAGTGGGTAGCATAATACAGCAAAGTGCAATGAAAACAGACAAAACAACAACAAAACCTTGTTCATATGGATTCCTCTCGTAAACACAGTAAACATGACCATGTTTTAAAGCTACTGTCAGCAGCTGTAGCTTAGCTTAGCATAAAGCAGGCAAAAACAGCTAGCATGGGTCCAAAATAAGTAATTGATATTCTCTATGTTATGTAAAAAAAAAAAATACATGTAATATATAAAATACTAAATTTTAGAGATGGTTGCTGGCAGTTTTTTTTTTTTTTGGTTTCCCTCCATTTCCAGTTTTTGTGTAAAGCTAAACTTACTAGCTGCTGCTAGTCGCTTCATATACCACTCTCACTTCTGTATCAAAAATATGAAGCTCACAAGAGTCAATACATTTATAATTACATTTAGATAGAATTTTACATATAAAATGTTTTTACAAACAAGCCATGTTAGTTCTTTCGAGCCAAGCTAGCTGCTTCCCCCTGCTTCCAATCTTTACGCTAAATTAGGCTAAGCTACCCATTTACTAGTTGTAGCTTCATGCTTAGCACACATAAGAGTGGCATCTGTCTTCTTATTTAACTCTCTACAAAGAAAGGTAGTAAGCAATTTTTTTGTTTGTTTGTTTTTAAATGTCCTGCTACTGTCAGACTACAACACAGAAAGACGTATTTTTAGATTTTTACCAAGTCACATATGAGAGCTATACCTCTGGCAAATGGAAAATAACAGCAGCTTATTTTTCAGGGGGCTCTTTTAGAAACTCGTCATGGGAGCTGAAGAAGAAGATCTCCAGAACATTCTCAGGAGGATGTTATCGAACAGATCTCCCAGGGTACGTCCATAGTTTATATATTGTATTACCTTGAAGGTTTTTTTTTAGGCACATATTGCCTAAATGTCATAAACGTCCTTGAAACAAAGAACAAAATAAAACAGTCAATGTTTATGTCTTAGTTTGTCTACTTAACAGTCAACCTCATTCAAGTTACATTTTAGTAGCTTCAATGATAAAAACAGAGAAAAGAAAAAGCAGACAGAAACCCTGTGGGGCAGACAAACTCCCCAAAGGACTCTGTGACAAAGCTGCTGCTATTAAAATATATATTGTCTCGTCACAAGCCATCATCTTGTGAGTGACAGATCTCGCCTCACGTCAGACTGAGAATGGAAAACTCATTTTCCCCAGGACTCCCTCGGGAGGTCGACACAGGGAGAGTTACTGCAGCTGGCAGCTGAACCGCAGCCCCTGCAGTCCGTACATGGATGGCAATCGAAGCGCCCACTCAAGATCCCAGTTCGAGTCCACGATGAGTCTGAATGACAAGAAAGCAAAGGTGCACTGGATTATAATATTATGATATACAATGATTTAATATCTCCATGCATTTGTTCAAAACCTGGGTGGAGATGAGAAAGGTTAACTGTATATTTTTTTCTCCTGTTTCCTCTCTGTTGCAGGACCTGGGTCCTGAGTTTATTAGAGTGTTAGATGAGCCTCTGGTTGTCTTGGAGCTGCCTGGATCCATTGTGGTGAGTTATTAAAAAAGGGGAGAAAAAAAAATCAATTCCTGTCATTGTAAGGAGAGAATTACCGTAAGGGACACACATAGTAGTGGTAGAATGAACTAAGTACATTTACTGAGGTATTATTGTGTTGCGTTTATTAATTGATTGACCAGAAAATAACTGGAAACTAGCTTGATAACCATGTAAGTTCCTTTTCTGGCATTAATACCTCAAATTCCATGACTTCAGCAGTTCAAATGGGGTTTGCTGCCTTTCATTTTAATTATTAGGTAGTTTTAGCTAGAATTATGATGAGGGTAAGCATCAAACTAAATACAACAAACTGGCGAATTCAAAGAAAATGCATGTATTTACACTGCTCTACATCAGTCAAACCAATCGACTGATCAAGATCAATCATCAGATTCATCCATTATGAAAATGCTCTTTAGTTGCTGTCCTATAGAAACAACTAAAACAGTAACAGCATGTCTTACAGCAGGATTTGACTTAAAATTGAGTATTTACATACACTGTAGTCAATATTTAATTAACCACGACACACAATCTTCATAGTCCAAACCTTTGAAGAATGTTGTTGGATCAATTCAATATCATGAGTTATTTAGGTAATAATGTTAGTTTTAGCCCATTTATCTCCTGGTGACAACTATTTATACTTTCCATCGCAGATCTAGAATACAGTATTCCTCTCGACATATAACATATAATTCCTCTGTATGAATCAGTTTGCCTTTGCCTAATCATTTATAAAGTGAAACAACTTGTGACCAAGATTTAAATGGTCCCTCCTCTGTTATTTTATTTATTAATTTTTTTTATTAATGTCCTTAAAATGTATTTCTCCCTGTTCACAGTCAAAGAAAGGAAAATCTCCGACCACCCACAGAGAGCTGAGTGTGGTGATGCCAAGCGGTCAGAGCATCCTGGTCAAGTGTGAGGTGAAATCCAGAGCAGGAGATGTCTTTGACATGATCGTGGCTCACTCCAACCTGATGGAACATTTCTACTTTGGCCTTGCTTACATTGATGGTAAAGAGACCTGAAGTAATTAGTGAGCAAGTGTGAAGTAACTTGGTTGTAGTTGGTGTAGGAATATCAGAAATCATAAATCATACATGATCAACGTACTCAGGTTTTCTTTTTTTCTCTGTTTCTCTTCAGATAACGAGTTTTTCTTCGTGGACAACGACACCAAGATTTCCAAAGTTGCGTCAGATAGCTGGAAGAAAGTGCCTTCAACCACCTTTGTCCTTTACTTCAGGGTCAAATTCTTTGTCAACGACATTTCCCTTATTTTGTAAGTATTCATCATTAGTTAATACAAAATAAAACATGCAAATGTGGGATAGAAACCCTGATAGTTATGTGATCTTTACCTCCATCAGGCACAAACAGACCCGACACCAGTATTACCTCCAGCTCAGGAGGGACCTTCTGGAGGGCAGGTTGTCCTGCCACGAGGAGACTGCTCTGTACCTGGCAGGTCTGGCCCTGCAGACCGAGTATGGAGACTGCATGCCTGAGGTTGTGCACCTAAAGCTGAATTCATAGTTGAAGTTGCTTGACTCAAGAGACACATGAAAATCGATGTTATAAAAGCTGAGAACCTTTCATTCTTAATCCCTACAATGGGTCAAGCACTGAATCCTCCATTTTCTGTAAATAGGAATTTTCTTTAGACACCATACCCTTAGTTTGTAGTTAAGTCTTTCTTTTGTTAATGTGTAGTTTCCAACCCTGATTCCATCATTAGGGTCATTTTCTCTGACTTAGCAAAGCTTCTTCAGAGCCACAGAAGAAATTCTACGATCTACATGTGTGAAAAGTCCTTTTAAAAAAGGGTAGTCTAACAATCCTGCAATGTAAATGTCAGCATGCAGCGTCAGCTCAGTTGTCACAGTGTTGTATAATTACTGGAGACGACGGAGACAATGGTGGAGATCAATAACAGCGTTTCAGTGCCTATATTTATTTAAGATAAATATCCATATGCCCCTGTTTCTATGCATGTATTTTCCCATCTATCACTGTATTATGACTCACTGTTTAAAGGTTATGTGTCCACAACAGCTCATGACACTACAAACTGTATGTATTATGTGTATTCTGTTAACATGAGGTTGCGATCTGTTGTGTTTAGGTGTACGGTAGGAACTACTACCGCCCTGATCAGTATGTCTCCAAGAGTGTGATGGAGAAACGTGCCTTGCCTTACATTCAGGGAGAGCTGCTGCGACTTCACACCAACAACGCTCAGATGCTCACAGATGAATCAGAGCTTGAATTCCTCAAGGTAGCACATATGACAAGCACTTTTAAGTTGTAGACATCAATGACTGCTTTCTGACTAATTAGAATCCCAAGCTAATGTAATGTAATGTTTACTAGTAGCAATTCTAATTAGAGATATCTGCAGTGGATTTCTTACTCGTGGAAACATCCGTTGTAAGTAAATTACATCTCGTGAAATTCTGTCATAGACTTCTACTGAAACTGAGTTACAGATATCTATGTTCATTTCTCATCCGTCAAAATGTAAATTGGTGACATTAACAGTTCCATTCTTACTAGTAGCATAATCACATTACTAACTAGTTCAGATTTCTAAAATTACATTTGAGTTAACAATAATAATAATAACAATAATACACATTATTTACACAGCAGTTTTCTTAACAATAAATGTCACAAAATTCTTAATGAAAACAAAAAACATATCCAAACTAGGCAGATATAAAAAAATGCATTTGTAACTAGTGAAAATAATTTTTTGTACGACTAACAATAATATTTCTGATGTCTACAATTTGTTTTAAAAGCAATCAGAATTGTATTTTAGCAGTCAAAATGCCATTGTGCATATCTTCATTAATACATATCTGAAATGAATATGCTAATTAGGTCCACATGTCCAAAATCCAAAATGGTTTGTTGATGTTGGACATACTAGTACATTTATACTAGTGGCAATCATTTCCGAATATGTTGAAATTCATTTGCAGATTACTTTATTCATTAGTCTAACTGGTCAAAAAGGAATTACTGATATTTATAATTAAATTAAAAATAGCTGTAAATAATATTTAAGTTTTTAAAACTTAGTTTTTTACATGTGAAAGTATATATTGTGACATGTCAAATTTGTTTCATAGATATCTTAAATTAAAACTTAGCCATGTGTCATTTTAAGGCTAAATGTAAACTGGTCAGTGTCACCGATTAAATGTGAAAAAGGGCTAACCATAAGAAATGCAGTCCTATATTCGACTATTCAAGTCATGGTGCTGAATCTATACGACTGTGACTACGGCTGTTTATCCCTGTAGGTGTGTCAGCAGCTGCCTGAATACGGTGTGTTGTTCCACCGTGTGGTGCGTGAGAAAAAGCCTTTAGACGGAGAGATTATCCTCGGGGTTTGTGCCAAAGGTGTTATCGTCTACGAGGTTAAAGACGGCTGCAGATCCACCAATCAGAGCTTCTACTGGAGGGAGACGGCGACCATCTCCTCTAATGTGAGTAAGCGGCTGGTAGTGGTGCGTGTCATCCTTCTGTGTTCCCTCTCACTGAATAGAAACCTTTCCCTTTCATGTTCCTGCAGAGGCGTAAATTTGTAATCGAGTGCCGGGGCAGCAAGAAGAAGTACACCTTCATCACGGAGAGGTCGAAGACAGCCAAATACCTGTGTAACCTCTGCTCAGCCCAGCACAAGTTCAATAACGAGATGAACTCCCGCCAGCTAACACACAGCCTGGTCTCAGGTCAGCCATTGCAGCATTTATTTTATCCTCTAGTTGATGCTTGCCAATTACTAAAGACAACTTCTTCATCTGTGTCCAGAGGAGAACATCGTGCAGTATGCAGCAGTGTGCCGTGCTCAGAGCAGCAACCTCAAGTCCTTCTCCTGTTCTGAGACGCCACAAGACGACAGCGGTCTGACCACACCTCAGGACGAGACCCTGAACAAACTGTGCGATGACGTCACTGCCAGGATCGAGGCCCGCATAAGACAACAGCGCCTCAACGAGCACAGGTCTGTAGCCACACAGCAGTTTTCACTATGTTCCGACATTGAAAATTCAGAATACAGATAAGCCAAAATATTGTGACTACTGAAGTAATGCTAATAGTAAAAACTGTTCATGTGAAGGTCTGCGATAAATCAGACAGTAAGGGAACGGGTAGTTCTTGTGGGCAATCTGTTGGATGCAGCAGGGATGGACAGGTGTTAGGATCTCAGTGAGTAAGTCGTTGTTGCCAGATGTCAGGGTTGAATGATTACTATTATGAACGACGGGGCCAGTGCGTAGATATACTGTAGTAGTACCAGGAGGGATCCATTGTGACTCCAAATCACAACTTTGTATCACGAGGCACCTAAGAGCTTGGTCGGTCGAAGCTTCTTTGGTTGCACATAAAGGACCAAAATTATATAAGACAGGGCTGATCGTAATGTTTTGGCTCACAGTGCATATTTCTGCAGCAAAGAAGGATCAATTTCTTTAGTTTTGCAACAACAAAAAAAAATCAGGCTTACTTGAGGTGGTCTTTGATTTTTTTTTCAAAAAAAAATACTTCATGACAGATAGAAACACTTGTTTCGAATAAGTTTTGATGTCTCAAATGACAGATCTACTTTCTCCACTTCTTTCATTGTCTTGTCTTTGGACAACATGAACATGTCCAATGCCAGCTGACAAGAAAGAGTAATTACCAGTTTCCCAATTAAAAACAGTTCTTGAAGACTTCTCCTTATTTTTCTCTCATTGATGGCCAATGATTTGGTTCATTCCTCCTTTTTGAGGTTTTTTAGCTGTTGGCAAAACAAATTAGTTTTGTAGTTGTGTTTCTGGCTTCGTCTACTGTTTTTAATTACAGCTATGCGTAATGTGGCTGTACCACAACTTTCTGATGACACTGTTCAGCCTATTCCTTCCAAAGCATTTGATGGAAACAAGCTTGATTCATTTTTTCTTTTCTTTTTTTTTGCGACATTGCTAAAGTTTGCTTCATATGTGCATGGTTAGAATGAGATGAAAACATAACTAATGTGGCCCAGACCTTTTGTGATTTACAGTCTTTCCCTTGAAGCTAGCTCATACAGTCATCAACTTATTCTTCAGGTTGTTCTAAACCAACTACGCAGCAAAATAGCTCCTCCCGGGTGATGAGTTTAGGGTAGATGTACCACATAGATGTATAACAGAGCATAATATTAAAGCTTTCGTGTCGTAACTGAAGAGAATTGTCCTGATTCTCCCCTCGATGTATTTGTGTTGCAGTCCCTGCTCCGGCAGTCAGCGCAGCAGCACTGGTATGCGTTCTCCAGTGTGTTCTCCGAGGAACGGATCTGAAGCCCGCTCTGGTTCTCTAGCAGCCAGAGGTAGAGTAAAACCAAGCACACTGCTCAGCTTCTTTAACTGATAACCTCTACATAACAGGTGGTTCTCTTGTGAGGCAGCTTTATCATTGTACATTTTACTATCTCCTTTGCTCCATCGTAAAGTTTCTGAGGCAAAGCTGCTGCTGCTGCTGCTAGTTAACTGTATTAATCCTCTATCTGTCTCACAGACACCCCGACTAAACTGGGAGCCTCCTCAGAGAGAGAGGTCATATGTGTCTCCTTAAAGAAAGACGCAAAGCTTGGCCTGGGTAAGTCGATCACACTTCATAACAAAACATCAGTAAGAAGCTGTTTTCATTTATTAAATGTTTGATGAACTACAAGAAGAAACAAACGTACCACTAACATGTACTGTGGATGCCATGCAGTCACAAAAAAAAGACCAGAATTGAACAAATGTTTTCGATCATGGACGCTTTTTTTTCATGTTTCTGTTAGTTGATAATAAATCTGCCCCCCCATTTTATTAAGTGTTTAATACACGTGTGGTCTGTGTTGATGCAGGTATAGTGATAGTTGGAGAAGACACAGTGGGACGCTATGATCTGGGCATCTTTGTTGCCTCCGTTGTGCCTGGCGGACCTGCTGATAAGGACGGACGCATCAGAGCAGGTGGAGAATCACATGGACATTTTTGGTTTCTGTTAAGCAGCACTGTGCAGAATAGGAACATCACAAAAAAAAAAAAAACAGAAAATATTGATATCATGTTAAGGGTATACAGAGGATAATCCTGTAAATAATCCAGCAGCAGTCGCTGTCTGGATGACACTAGGTGATTTTGGTTGGCATTGTATTGATGATGTTTGGAACGTTTTATTCATCAGTTCATCTGGTTGCATTTTCACTATCCATGATTGTAGTTATTCTTTTTGTATGCTTTTTTATAGTTATTGTTACAGACAAAGCAAATTCATCTAACATCTGCCAATGTAGAGAATATGGAGCAGGGAAGTGCAAAGGAGGACAAAGACTGTATCTGAAGTGTGTCTGTGGTGCCTTTGTGGGTCACGCTGGCTCTTAAAACTACTCTGGCACCGTTTCACTGTGACCTTTGCCTTCAGGTGGTCGTCTGATCTCTCTGAACCACATCAGCCTGGAGGGCGTCACTTTCAGCGAGGCAGCAGAGGTCATGCAGAGCAGCCCGGAGGAGGTGCAGCTCATTATCTCACAGCCAAAAGGTGCTCTGTGTGTGTGTGTGTGTGTTTCAGCGAGGCAGCAGAGGTCATGCAGAGCAGCCCGGAGGAGGTGCAGCTCATTATCTCACAGCCAAAAGGTGCTCTGTGTGTGTGTGTGTGTGTGTGTGTTTGTGTGTCCGGCTACTGTATGTGTGTAATGATACTGTGCTGAGACCTTTGCCCTCCTTTGTTTGCATGAGTAGTGCTGGTGATGGGGTAATTAGCCCATGGTAATAGTGCTCTGATATAATAAAATGTAAAACAGTTTTCTTTTATTAGCCAGCAAAGCCTTTTCTATTTTTAGCATGTGTGCCTGGTTGCACTGTTTCACTGTCTATTATTATATGCAATAAAAATATAGATTCTAGTGTATTTTTAAAGCTTTCCACCTGTTTTTCTTCCTGTAAAATGTTACTTTTTGTTGATTCATTTCCCCCATGGATATAAACAAATTCCATCCTCAACTCTCATATAAAGTTTCAAACTGGGAATCATTTGATGTGTCACAATGGGTCAAGGACGTGAACCCAAATGCAAGACTCAAAAAACTTCGGCTCAAAGTTCTCTTTAACAGATTTATTTACAAAGTATCAACTTAAAATCTCTGCAAAAACGATAAACACAAAATGTCACTCAAGTGAGGAAAAATATCAAAACCGAAAATCACTCTTAGGAGGAAACAAGTTACTTGGAGAATCAAAAGCAAAAACCTTAACTTGGCAGGATCGTAACATTACAAAGTAGCAACAAAACATTAACAGAATCGAGGCAATACAAAGTAGCAAAATAAAACGTTAACGAGACTGTGGAAATACAAGGAAGAAAACAAAACCTGAACTTGGCAAGATCGTGGCGTGGATGGCTAGGACGACTGATCTGGTACGTAGAACAAGACGAACTGGCAAAGGACAAAGGGAGACGCAGACTATATATACACACAAGGGGCAACGAGGAACAGGTGGAGAACATTAGGGCGAGGTAGACAATCAGACACAGGGAACACAGGAGGAAGGGCAAGTCACCTGACACAGAAGGGGAAAAGATTTTCAAAATAAAACTCAAAAGACATCATACAAGACAAAAACCTAAGAACGGGTTCGAGACATGACATGATGTTAAAGATATCCTGTTAAGACTGAGGATAACTTAGCATGTTCTTCTTTCTACATTCCTTTTAAACATCAAAAATAAAATAAGAATAAATAAAGACTTTCAGATTGATACAAATGTAAAGAAATAGTTTTGTGTTTCTTGAAATATGTTTCATGAAGTTTTTCTATACACAATATATGAAGCTGCAAATAGCAGTTTGCTAGCTTAGCATCACACAGTGATTAAAAACAGGAATTAGAAACAGCTAGCTTAACACTAGCTGAAGATACGAGCAAAACACAACTTTACAAATCCTGTAAAATCCTTTTCATCAAACTCTCTTGAGATCTTTTGTTTGAATTCTCAAATTAAAGTTTTTTCGCCAAGAGTGAAATGATACCTGTAATAAGCTACAACTAGCAACTGACTAGCTTCAACACAAAGCCTGAAACCACAGGAAAGTAGTTATCCTCGATGACAAAAATGGAAAACATCAAAGCTTTAGTCTTTTGTTTACGTCATACTATGTCTGAGTTTTTTGTATTTTAAAAGCTTGTGTTGTAACAACTAGCTTTTTACCACATTCTTTGCGGTAAGCTGAGCTACATTGCTGCTAGCAGAAACATCTGATAATGGCATCAACCTTCTCGTCTGCCCCTTTGCAATGTAGATGATCAGCTTGTAGTGCATTTTCAGTATTTACAGGTGTAATAGAGCAGTTTTGTTGTTTTCATCCACAGTTCCCTTCAGTCCTCTGCGCTCTCCTGTTTTGAGGAATTACGACTCCCAGATCACACTGATGACAGACGGACGGTCGAGAGACGACAGCCTGGATGAGATCGTCTCAGTCATGATGACGCCGAAGACCAGCAACAGACTGAACGTCCCCCGGGATGTTCGAGTCCCCGGTACACAGGTAGAGTCCTGATAGATTTAAATCACATGACTGAACTTTTCACTGTTACTTTTTCCAGTGATGCTGATAGTTGCAAGTAGTGGTGGAGTAGCTGTTTAGTTAGATTTAATCAATAACTATTGGTAATTTTGTATAATTATGCCATAAATACATGTGTGATTGGCTCTTTATGTGTTCCATAAGTGACAGTAAGACAGATGCAAAGGCTGAACTAATGTCTGTTTTGGCCTCAGGACGGCTGCCCTGTGCCTCCGTCTCAGAACTGTGTGAGGCCAGGGGAGATCACCGTGGAGCTCAGAAAGATGTCAGGAAGTCTGGGCATCAGCATCTCTGTGAGTTTATGGCTTACTTTGCAGATGAACAGACTGAATGGCTTGGCCACGAAATTACAAGTTTTGAAGATGCTGAGCATGACTGCATACAATATTGATTTTGGAAAATAGTGGTTGCAGTTATCTGCCATCATCCATCGGACTAATGTGTTTACAATGGAAGAATTTGATTAAAAACATTAGGAATGGACAGTCAGGAAGGGTAATTAGTAAAATAACTCATCTCCAGCAGTCGGCCACAAGGTCTGCTCTACCCAATCTGATTAACATCTGTGGTCTGGCAGGATTAAAAAGAGAGAGAGAGAAGCAGAGAGAGATCTCATTCACACCAATTTCCAGTAGAAAAATGAACACTACCACAATGTAAGGGGAAAAAGACAAGTAAAAACTTTTTAATAGTAAAAATATAAAGTATTTCGACAAGAAGAGATACCAGCAAAATGTGACCAAAAGCTGTAAATACTAGCAGTTTATCATTATTATATGAAGCTTTAGTAACAGATTTAATGTTAGAAAAGCTGTTAGTAACATATAAACCATTTATGATATATGTCTTGTTGGAAAATGTTTTTTAAAAAATGACACTAAACTAATTTAGACCGTCATACTTTGTTTAATCTGTAAAATAAACATAATGGAGTCATGGAGTAAAAGTATGACTGAAACACTCACATAAAGAACCTCAGAAATGTACATTAACACAATACTTGAGTGAATATACTTGAGGTAAATATGAAAAAAAGAAAAAAATGATTTAAAAAATAATTTAAACATGACCAGCCTCAGCAACATTTATCAATATATGACTGGTATCACTATACGTAGTGAATGAAAGTTGAATTAAAGCCTCTGTTACTGATGGCTCAGGGTGGCGTCAACACCAACCATCCGAATGGAGGAATCTACATCAAGAGCCTCGTTGCAGGAGGAGCTGCTGAGAGAGACGGACGTTTACATACAGGTAACACAGTTCAGAGTCAAATCAAATGACGCTACGTCCTCCATGCGTAACAAATGTATTCAGCAGACTTGTCAAACTATGCGTGATAGTTTCCAGTATTTCTTATCGGAGTCCTTTAGCACTTTCTGACAAGGAAACGACACATCCCACTCAGATGTAACTGAAAAGAGAAAAACTAATTAAAACCAAATGTAGGTTACAAATTATAGTTGTAATTTTATTAGCTTTGTCTGTTTATCAATTCCAACTATGTTTTCATGAACAGGTGACAGACTGGTGGAGGTGGACGGGTTTAACTTCCAGGGCTTCACCTACCAGCAGGCTGTGGAGTGTCTGAGCAAAACTGCAGAGGTGAAGGACAACATCTGACTAGTAGAAACCAACAATCTATATTTGCAAATGATGATGAGGGTTTTTTTTTTTTTTTTAGCCATGCTGACGGTATAGATTTATGGAAGGTAGAGCTACAACGACTGATCAATTGATTAGTTGCCAATTATTTTGATATTTGATTAAAAACAAGACCTTCGAGGACATCTCCCGGGGCTTTAGGAAACAATAATTGCCTTTTTTTTTTAAAAACCATTTTCGAACAACTAATGGATTATTCGAGAAAACAATTGACAAATTAATTGGCAATGAAAATAACAGTTAGCTGGAAGGCAATGTTGACAAAAACTATTGGATGAAGTGCTACAAAGATCTGGTTTAGCTGTCCTTATGCACCACCATTACATTGGTTCAAGGTCACAGCAGAAGGACGGACCAGTTGTTCCAGTCACATCTATATCTTCCCCTCTTACACTTCTTGTCCTCTCCTGTCCTCTTATGACCTCCAGGTGGTTTCTTTTGTTGTGGAAAGGGAGTCAATGAGCCTACCCAGAGTTTCTCTGAGTGCTGAAAACAGCAGCGCTGTACCCAACCAGACCGTCAGTCCATCTACCAGCCGGCAGAGACTCAACAGCTGCTCGTCCACCAGCACTCCTGTAATCACAGTATCTGGCCGGCCCCGAGACTACAGCTTTGTCACTGATGGTAGGATGCTTCACCTTTTAACTGAAATACAAGAAATCCATTGAGAGACCTCAAAAACAAAGAGTCCACAATCTCTTTTAAAAACAGCTTCGAAATACTTCCTGTTTTGTCAGTGTGGGAGCAAAACGGATAAAATGTGAGGAAGAACCTTCGTGAGAGAACCTTTAAGCTGTTGTTTGCCTCAGTAGCCGTCCAGGCTGGTCTGACAGCCTGAAGGTGAACTTTCACACACTTCCTCCTCACACTTCATCCTGATCTCCCCCTCTGACCTTCCTGTTCTTATCCTCCTGGCCTCCCTTATCCTTCGGTCTGTCCTTCTATATCTGTCTTCCTGCACCATATATTCACACAGTCGGGTCACCGGTTTTAATTTAATACAGCTTCATTCCTTTTAGAGGTTAATAACTAAACAACCCTGGACATCAGATAAGTGCGGCTGAAAAAGCCAATAAAAAGCTCACCTATCACAGAGCCTCTCCTGCTCTGCTGTACAGACCTGCATTGTTGTTCATTAATGTGCCATTACTTAGTGTATTCTGAAAGTGGTGTTAAACTCATTTTCCCTTTCATCACATCTACAGAAAGCTGACGAGGACATGCAAGTAATGATTTCTTTATTTTGACTGTGAAAATAACTAATTTCCAATGATGACAAAACAGTTTTTTCAAAATTGTTTTTAGAATTAAAACAAAATTAAACTCTTTAAAAGACCCCTACTTGGTAGGCATGACTGCATTTTTTATTTATTTATTTAACCTTTATTCTGCCTGGTAAAAATGTTTGAGAACCAGTTCTCATTTGCAAACCTGGCCATTTACATCAGGACAGTCAAAAAAAACCCGGTTTGCTTCTGTTTGGTGGTCTGAATTTCCCCATGTCACTCCCCATAACAATGCACCAAGATCCACATGACTAGGACTATGAAGTGGGAACAAAAAAATGTCATGAGACGGAGGTGAGGCTTATGAAATGTTACATGAACGACGGTAGCAGCGACAAACAGAGCTGCAGAGTGAGCACAGCGCAGATGGCTTATTCCACGTTCAGGCCAACTTTAGCCTTGCGTGACTAAACGCAGCCTCTTCAGTCATTTGAAGGAGACCATCACAGGATCATTAGACACAAATATTGTACTTGGCTTAAAGCTGGAGTGTGCAGGAGTGTAGCAACAGCAACAGTCGGATAGATTTAGAAAGTATACAACCCACTAGAGAATAAAAAGCAACCTAAAACATTAAATAAAGACCCTCTCATCAGGTTCTAATCCCAGTTGTGTTGATCTTGATGCATCCATGCAGGGAAAGACAAAGTCCGACACGAGACACCGAATACTGATTCTACATTCACTTAGTAAAACATTTCGAAGCCCGCTGATGGAATTACACAGTGTTTAAATGTTGCTTTGATTTTGCCGTTGAATTTATTCATACATTTAAACTTCAAGCTCACCAAGACCACTTGAATTTAAACAAAAAACATCACTGACTTAAGAAGTCTGTCTTTTCCTGTTCCTTTCCCTCTTCTTCTCCCAATATTTCCAACTTTCCTTAATTCCTATCCACCCCATTCCTATCTACACCATCTTTTACCTCATTGTTGTCCCACTATTGTCCCTTTCCTTCTGCCTCCAAACCCTAAGACAACACCCAGGAAGTGACTCTGACCAAGAGTGCCAACGGTCTGGGCTTCAGCTTCCTCATGTGTGAGCTGGACCCACCCACTCGGGATTTTGGCAGTCTGGTCCGGATAAAGCAGCTTTTCCCCGGCCAGCCTGCTCAGCAGAGCGGCAGGATCCAGGAGGGAGACGTCCTGTTGGCCATCAACGGCCAGTCGCTCAAGGAACTGTCCTATCCAGTAAGTGCAGAGTCATTTGTATAGCAAACCTATTAGTAATCTTTGATCTGCTTGTACTGAAATCAGATTTTGTCATCCAGCTCTGATGTGATAGATGCAGTTGTATGATCACTGCAGTTTTCTACAGACTTGTTCAGTACATGTTGTATATGCATGCAAATGTATCATTTCCACTTTTATTTGAACTCCCTGGGTTTTTTTTCCTCTCATTTGACGCCCTAATTGTTGTTGACAGTCTCCTCAGACATAATAGATGATTGGGTTGTTAAAGAAACAGACAATTTTACTGTTTTTTGAATTTTCTTACCATGACTATTTTGTTCATTTCAAGAGTATTTAAAGAGTTCATTTGCAAAAACAGATAACTCAATTTTCGTAGATTTTCCGAAAACTTGTTGTTTGCTTGAGACAATATCAATCAAACTGAAGTTGAGTAGCTTTGACTCAGTAGAAATGACAAAAATAGAGATAACTTAAGTTTGATTGATATTGTCTCAGGAAGACGATGGAAACGTGGGTTTTCTGAAGGTTTGTGAAGATGCAGTTATGCAAATTACCTCTTCATTCAAGATCCAATATACAACATCAGCTATACATACCCTGATTATTTCTATAAACACATCTTTTCTCTCTGCAGAAGGTGCTAAAGCTGTTCAAGACCTCACCACCTGAAGTCCTGCTGACTCTCTGTCGACCTGCACCAGGTACGCAAACACATTCTGACAAACACAAACACGCTTCCTTGTGTGCACCGGCCTCACTCACCTGTTTGTCTGTTTGTCTACAGGGATTCTTCCTTCTATCGATCAGTTCACCTGCACATGAGCGATCTCGCAGTGTTATAAAGCAGCATCAGGGGATGTTCAGAGGCTACGGTGTGCTTTTCTGATGAACCAGAGAGCGGTGACGGAGGCCGAAGGAAGCACGATCGCAAAGATGTTCTGATCAGTGGACAGAAGGATTAAGCTGACCTTATCAATGGACTCCAGCCCTGCAGAAAGGTCAGTGATGTTCCACAGCATCACCTGATGGTACCCGACAGAACACAGTGGGCAGCTTTCCACTGCAGAAGCTCAGGGCAAGCACAAGGTTGCAAATGACGACAAATAGGAGTTACTGACACATAGGGAAATAGAACAATGAAGGTTTGTTGTTTTAGCCGACAAGGTTAAGTTTACATTCAATGTCAGAGAGGAGAAGATTGCTGCATGATGAGGACATGAATTTAAAATGCAGCTGCAATCTTTATCTGTGATCACCACTGTGGTAGTCCAGCACTATCTGATTGTTGACATGTCAATATAGGCAATAGGCTGTCAACGCTATATAAACACTGAAAAGTTATCTCTAAATTCAATTAAAACAGAAATAAGCAAAGTCATTTTAACAAAGTTTGTGTTGGAGTTTACATACTGATAATCTAAATCTGCCCTGACAAAAAAAAAAATCAGTTGACCCCTAGTTTTGACATATTAGACTTCACGTTATCATGTTATCACAAAGACACTGGGAAGTGTGTTTATTGGTAGTTCAGAGGGATTTATTGCCTCATTTCAATAAAAACCAACATTGCATAACAAATCAGGGCACAACATGTTATAATGTGACACGATTTAACACACTAATGTTTTACACATCATGCTGTGAATGCAGCTCAGTCTGACATGACACAGCATGACATGGTGCACAGCACAACATTATATACATATCAGTTATTTCTCAGATTATGAAGCACTTTTGTTGCTGTTTGTTCAGTTTCACAACTACATTTGCAGCTTCTAACTTGTGAAATTGTGTTTTCCAGACAGCAAAGAAACAGAGATGGACCAGAAGAGCAGAGAGGCTGGAGTCTGATTCTGAGTGTTGGTGGAGACAACAGCTGGATTATAGGTGAGTGTCTGGATAACACTGTTAAAGAATCTTTCATAGACTCAGTGTTGTCTCAGTTCTCTATAGCTTGATTTGTGTTTGATAAAAGTAGAAGCTTTATTGTCATTGTACAAGATGTTTATGCGGTCAAATACCTAATTTGTGTGGCATTCAAAGCAAACAAAGCTTATTTTCTGTTCACAAGGACAAACAAGATGTTTCTTTCTGAAACCACAATGTCACTAAAACACTGATGAAAGCATTTTACTTTAGAATGACTACTTTTCCTTTTGGTACTTAAAGAACATTTTATGTTCCATACTTTTACTTAGGTACATTTTTGAATGCAGGAATTTTGCTTGTAGCGGAATATTCTACCAGCACGGTATCATACTTTTATTTAAGTAAAGGATCTAAATACAACTATCATCACTGCAAATATTAATTCTATTTTAAGTATTATGTTTTGTGGATGGAAACTGTTGACAGAAAGGTTCTTCTTTGTTTCCACATGAATAAAACTGAACAGCATGTGGTTTTACTGGCAAGCTTTTTCTTTGATAAAAAAAGCAACTGATGTGGTGACTTTGATTTTAAAAAAAGTCATAATGAATGAATCTGACAATCCTTACACATTTACATTTGCCTGAACCACACCAAGATGTTGCCCTACCCAATCTATTTCTCATATGAACTCTATTAATCTATAAAATTCTCTGACTTTGGCAGCTCACCTGATAGATTGTGATCTCTGTATATCAAGACTGAGTGTGTACAGCAGCAGCCTGGGTTCAACCTTTACTGCATGTCATCCTCTCACTCTCCCACTTTACTGTGTGTCTTTAGCTGTCGCTAAGGTAAACGCAAAAAAGCCCCACAAAATAATCTTTAAGGAAAATCTACCATTTCAATTTTAATATCATTCCTAAAAACGTTGTTCTGTTTGGCACAGCAGTCATACAGTTCTCACTGATAAAACCTGTGAGATCGATGAATTCTTATAAACCACTGACAGCTTTTATCACCTGTTTAAATCTTCTCCACAAGGTGTCAGCATTGCACTAAACGTAGCATCTTCTTTGTGTTGCAGACTAATCATCAGCGCTGCATGGTCGTACTGCTCTGTTAACATCATTTATTTTTATTTCTCCACAGAAAATCCATTAAAGGCGTCGTGTCGACACCAACGATGGAGACAACTGAAATAAACTGAAAAAGACCTACTGGTTTAAATTTTGTCGAGAACATGCAAAATATGTATAAAATAATTACATTAAAAAGAATGTAAGCTTCATCACACTTTTCTGTCTTCTGGTAACTTCTTCTTCTGCTTTTACTCCAGAAATACAACAAATGCAAACGCTCATTTTGTCACAAAAACAAAAGCGATTAAACTGCATCTGACCTGACTATGGATGATCTGCTCCCAAACACCCATTCAGTATGTGGACAAACCAGGCAGCACACACACACACACACACACACACACACACACGGACGCGCACACACACACACCTCCCCGGGTGAGGAGCCAGCAATGGCCCCTCGTAAATAAGGGTTCCTGTATTTTCGGTGAAACCCAGTAGTGCATCTGGATCCCATCAGAGCTTGTGTTCCCTTTGCAAATGATCCCAAATGTTTCTAATTATGCCAGTGGAGTCGGCACGAGGCTGTGTGAGCGCTGTGTTTGTGTGTGTGCGTGTGTGTGTGTGTGTGTGTTTTCGTGTGTCGCCCTGAAGGACACACACACACACCTAAACACTGGCCTCTGTTTATTCATGGACGGAGTAACAGAGATGGACAGCGTGGTCTTGACCCCTACAGCCTCTGCTCAGGTCACTGCTCATGGTGAAGACTGATGAGTGAAAGATGGGCCGAGATGGATTTCCTTCACCGGTCTTCTCCGCAAACACATGATTTCCAGGCTGAGTTTTGGACAAACTCATCCACAGTGGAATAGAGTCTTCAAGTCTGTATTAATGCAGTTTCTATATTTACACAAAGCACCAGTTGGACTATGGATGATCCTTTACACTGTGCAGACAAACAACACTTGCATTGTTGTTAAAGTCTCGTAGCTGCGTGACTCTATACACCAGGGAGCGTTTCATTAAGTGCTAACAGAGTATTATAGAGAACTTTTCTCTTCACCATGAATGAATATGCTGGAATTAAGCCATGATTAGCTGTGCCAAGCAGGATTTCAAAAACAAAAAGACTTACCAGAAAAGTTATCAGAGCAGCCAATCGAATGACCCCTGTCAGATCCCGAAAGCCATTTGAATGCAGTTTTTAGGAACAATTTCTGAGAATTTTCATGAAACAGCGCTGACTAACTTATTCTCCTGTTTCAGGCTTCATTCTTTTTTCTTTTTCTATTTATTTTTTTAACATGTTAGTGACCCTGAAAGCTGTTTTAATGAATACTTTCACATTAACAATGAGTTAAATGACTAATGAACCCAAGAAGATTTCTTCCTGAACCCTTAAATTGTCCTCACTTCCACACATGTTTAGCATATTTTAGCTTTTGCCTTCACGCCCTGCAGTTGAGTTGTTTTCAAATTAGGAGGTCGTCACCTCCACCAGCGTCAGCAACTCCAAGTCCGAGGTCAAAGTTCTCTGCTAAAAACCGGTGGATTACTCCCTCTGGGTTGGGGATGAGCTCGTGCCCCAAGTGAAGGAGTTCAAGTATCTTGGGATCTTGTTGACGACTGATGAGAAAATGGAGCGTGAAATGGACAGACATAGTGACGCAGCCTCAGTGGCCATGTGGGGATTGGACCAGACTGTCAGGGTGAAGAGGGAGCTGAGAAGGTGAAACTCTGATTTGCTAATCGATCCATGTCCCAACCCTTGCCAATGACCATGAGCTCTGAGTAGTGTAAAGATGAACAACACTGTGGACACAAGCAGCCGAAATGGGTTTCTATTGTAGGCTGGCTGGGTTCATCCCCTGATGTCCAAGTAAGCGGGTTGGACATCCGGACAGTGTTTAGTTAGATGGACGGAAATTAGTTGTTTTGGTTTTGGTTCATTTTACAGCTCTCCAGCATGCCATCGCAGCTATCTCAAAAAAATAAAAGCTCTGATAAACCTATTGCATGCTAACTGCTCAGCATCAAATGACAATGTTCGCCTCTGGTGAAGATAGTGAAACATTTAGCAGCTACGAAATGAGATATTTTTATCCTGAAGCTTGAGGAGAACAAAACAGAGCCACAGGGAGAGTAAATATGGGACTTGCTTATGGGACCAGACAGAGGCGTGACTACATTGCTCTGTACTTACAAAAACCATATCAGTTTTATAACATGACTTATGGGGCCTCCAGCTCTGGTGGTTTGTCGTCAAACAAAATATTTGTTGAGTCTCTATCTTGTGCAAAACAAAGTTGAACCTATGACAAGCTTATGAAAGTATTGTGATATTTATGTATTTGCATTATTACAAACTGGTTGTCTGTGGCAGCATACTGGGGAAAATGCTGTAATAACTTATTGCAAATACAAACCAAACATTTCCTACTTCTGCTGCCTCACATTCAAAGCATTTAACACAAGTTCAACTTAGCACTTAAAATCAGATCACAGTTGCTCACAGAATGATGGAGCTGTTGGACTTGTTTATTGAAACAACAAAAGTTGTTTTGCTGGCCCAAGATTCTGTGAGTTGTAATAATCAGAGTCTGCTGTTGCCACCATTACTTAAAGGGGTCATATTATGGGAAATCCACTTTGTCATGGTTTTTCAATATGATTAAGTGTCTGCAGTGTGTCTGGAGATCCACAAAATATAAAACCATCCACACATTTCTTTCTTTTTTCAATAGATCAAAACCTGTCTTTCTGTATGAGCCGTTCAGGTTTGCAGCCGGTTGTGATGTCACAGCAGCAGCAGCAGCTCAGATTAATTTAAAGCTACAGACACTGAAACAGCCCATTTGGAACAGAACTAAAACCAGCGGTACTACAGGCATGGCAGAGTTAACCATCCGTGCAGTATTTTGAGCTGAAACCTGAAATACACATTGTGGAGACATGTGAGACTTACATTAACTTGTTAAAAAGTGGTATAATATGGGACCTTTAAACCTCCCAAAGTGCTACAGGCAGATATTAAGGGAA